GCTATGTCGCTGAACTCCCATGTAGCCGACTGCGGTTTGAGTCCCAGACCCAGAGGCTTAAACTCACACCGGGCGTGTGTGTGCGTGCGTGCCCAAGATCCCGAGAGGAGAATGGAGGAGAAGGGATTGCAGCGTGGCCATCCCCCCTGGGGGGTGACTTCTCGCTTTCTGTCTCTCTGTCTCTCTGGCAAGTGAATGAACACTATAGCAAAAAGAAAAAACAAAAAAACAAAAAAACATAGCTGAACCAGGGCTGTAGGCCTCGGCCTGGATCCTTACTCAGGCCAGTGGATAGGCCAGGGCCACCCTGCTGGCCCCTGGGATCTCACGTGTCCAGGCCCCGCCCATGAGCAGACGGTGGGCCTGGGGCACGGATCGGAGACACCCCGAGCCTCGGGGACTAGAGAGAGCACCAGGGAGCTAGACCGCTTGACCAGCCTTCAGTGAGGCCCCCAGGAGCATCCTGCGGAGCTGGGCGCAAGCCCTAGAGAAAAACTCCCTGAAATTTACGTTCTAGACAAATTAGTCTGAAAGAAAGCAGACACTGGAGAAAGGCTGAGGAGGAGAGGAAACCCAGTCTAGAGAGGAGGAGAGAGCAGACCAAACAGCCGGGGCTGTCGTAAGTGCACTTCTCGTCCCGTGTCGCCCAGGCGTCTCACCGAGCTGCTGTTCAGGGCGTCACGCCCGCCTCTGCCCCGCCCGTGCACCGGCTCTGCAGCCCGGGCTGCCCCTCGTCCGCCCCGTGCCAGCCTCCCATCTCCAGCCGGCATCCGCATCCCCCACAGGACACGGCCCTGCTCGGGCTCGTCCCTCCACAGCCCACCAGGAACCCCTGACCCCTGCCCCTGCTCTGGAGCCAGCATGGCCGCCCCTCCGCGGGGCGCTCGTCTGGGGTTGGGGGGCTCCACCTGTGAGATGGGGCGCACAGCTCGGGCTCTCCTCCCTCTGTCCCTTCCCTCCCTCCTGATGACGCTCTTTCTCCAGGTCTCACCGCAAGCGGAGCCAGCCCAAGAAGCCCAAGCCCGAGGACCCCAAGTCCCAGGAGGACGGTGTAGCTGGGGCAGCCCTCCTGGAGGAGGTGGGGGCTGGCATGAAGGAGGAGGCTGCGCAGGAGGCCGACCCTGAGGAGGAGGATGAGGAGCCGCAGCCTGCCCTGCAGGGCCGGGAGGCCGAGGGCCCAGAAGGTCAGTCCTGCCCCGGCTCCCGCAGAGACCCAGTGTCCAGGGGTTCCCCGCTGCGTCCTCACCTGGGGTGCGTCAGGGAGGGAGTTTCGCAGTGAAGCAGGGCGCTGTGAGAGAAGGGCCCGTGGGGGGGACAGCCCCCAAGGGGGCCCGAGCCATGCGGCTGCCTCGAACAGAGCTCCACTGGCCCGCGCCTCCTCCCCCAGGCTGTCTCCCCAGGTGACACGCAGGACCGCGTGGGACAGGAATGTGAGCCGGGCTTGTGCGGGGTGGGCGGGCCCTCAGTCGTCCCTGTCACGCCTCGGGGACTCTTCTTGGAATATCAATCTGGGTGTGTTTAAAGGGTCCCTCTTAGACATCGCGGTGTTTCCCTGGGACCGGGCTCCACCCTCCTGATGGGTCCGACGTGCGGCGTTCGCCTGCAGCGGCTGCTGTGGTACCCAGGCGGGGACCCTTTCTGGGATCAGGCAGGGCGCAGGGGCCATCTCCCTGCCGTGGGCCGTCCTGGTTCCCCGTCCCCCTCATGCGCCCAGCACTACCGTCTACACCCAGAGGCGGATTCCTGGTGTGGAAAACAGTGCCGTGTCCCAGGGGACCGTTTGCTGCGGGCCGCAGAGACTGCCCTGGGTGTCCCCGCCTGCCAGCCGTCACCTGTGGGTGACAAGGTCATGGCCCTCGGTGCTCAGGGCAGGCAGGCACGTGCCACGGGCCGGTGTGAGGGTCACAGTGAGGGACGAGGGAGAGCCCCCGACAGAGACGCCCGGGAGCTCTGGACAGAGGGGGGGTGCGCATCGGTGCCCCCACTGCCCTCCTGGGCACCAGGGCCCGAGTCTCAGCAGAGGAGAGGCCTCGTCGCCTCTCGAGAAGGAAGGCCCGGCTGCGGGACCTCGGGAGTCCCACAGCGCAGGGGGACGCGCCTGGTGGGCGGGAAGCACCGTCCGTAAGAGCAGCTGCCACACGCCCTGCTCCTCGGGAGGGCTCTAACGAGAGAGGAGAGGCCTTTACGGACACGCGAGCTCGCCGCAGGTCGGCCAAGGAGCGTGGAGGGCCCGGCCGCCCCACGGGGCTTCTAAATACCCGTCCCAGCCCCGGTGCTCCGGCCACCCTCTGAGGACGCGTCTCATTTCGGGGCGGGGATCTCAGAGGGCACTCTTTCTGCCGTGCAGCCTCAGGATCTGCAGTAGAAAGGGGGGCACAGGGAGCGGCCGTGTGCTGTGAGGGCGGACCTGGCTCCCACACGGACTGCAGTTCTAGCCCCGGCCCCGGAGGCTTGCACCCCTGTGGACAGGGTGGAGAGACGGAGGCGGGGTTGCGGTGTGACCCGCCGCACGTGGGTGCCTTCCCCCTTTCTCCTCCTGCTGCGTGCACACGCCCTCTGGCTACCAGGCGACATTAGGAGGCACCGACCAGAGAGAGACGGAGTAAAGTGCGGGAGGAGACAAGCTGGCCGGCGGCGGCCGGGGACGGCGGAAGAGCTCCTTCAGGACACAGCTGCCGCCAGACGCCGGCCGCGGTCCCGTCTGGCCTTGTAGCCCAGAACACAGCAGGCCCGCGTGCGCGCCCGAACGCGGCGGCATGGAGACGGGCAGAGGGGTCGCAGCGACCACGCCTCAGGGCGCTTTCTCCTCCCCTGGCAAAGGCGTGTGCCCCGACAAGAAAGAAAAGAGAAACGCAACGGAGACTTCTCCAAGTCAGTGAGAAGGGGGAGCTCTGGAGGCGTCGTCACCCCACAGCACCGAGGAACCTGCGGTGTGCCCGCCGCCGTGTGCTCAGCAGACCTCAGGGCCAGTCTGCCCTGGCCCGGACAGGGGTCAGCCCAGCTGCCTCGGACACTGGCCAGGCCACCCCGGGCGGCTGGGACTTCCGCGGCTTCAGCGAGCCCCACGCCCCTCCCCGCCAGCCCCGTGCGGGACGGCCCATGGCTGCTCGGTGGCGGGAACCAGCACACGCATGTGTGCTCAGG